GAGAAGCCGTAATGTTGGCTGGTAATCGGAATGCATTGTGGGAGATGTAGTTGTAGTCAATTTGTGATCAAAACGTATTTTAAGTCAATCATCGGCCTATAAAATGCTGAGGCGGGCCACATGTGGCCCGCGGGCCTTGGGTTTCACACATGTGAGCTAGACAGTAAGTAGTCTAAATATTTCACTGTTGGAAATCTGCAGTAGAAGTTGAACATTGTCACATCCAAATTAATGGATTTAGACTGTAAATCCTTTAATGAGCAGAAATGAAAAACAAAAAATGAAACACTATAAAATTTTAACATTAGATTATGTGTTTTGGCTGAAATTGTGTTTATGACGCTTTGCTTGACAGTTTTGTCAGCATCAAGCACTGAAACTAACTCTGTAGTAATTAAACATACAGGTCAAGCTAAGCTGCGTGTTTTACAGTTTCTGACATTTCTAACTCCCAAAGCCTCAGTTTGTCTTCGTTTATTCATGTCCGATTTGCTGCTTTTTTGTGATGTGTGTGGGAAATCGTATGGGTGGCCTGATCGGCGTCCAGAGAGCGCATCATTCATCAGGCAACAGGTCTGAGTTTGGCAGCGGTTCTCAGAGAGCACAGATGCTTAATGACCCAACAGGTTGGGTCTAGCCTGCAGCTGAAACGCTGCAGGCTGCTGGATGGCAACACACACCTGCCTATTGACGTCCAATGGACACTCAGACTCAGATGACAATTTTTGGTTGAAACAGACGTAAATACGGTACTCGGCTCAGCCTCAGGACAGAAACTATCACCAAGTATTTCAGTTTTATTCCAGTAGTTCCTAAGAAGCACATAGTTGAAACCAACTAATAAATTCTATACATATTTTTTGCAAACAGTATTCATTCAACTTTGAAGACATCTCAAAATAATTCAGTGTAAGAAACCATTTCTACTGCTGATGTGAATAAATCCTCATTAGTTCAGATCACAGGACCTGCTTCCTGTATCTACATCTGGTGCGGCCGCCCTCGTCTCACCTGACCAACAACCAGACTGAACGCTCTCGACAGGTTCTGGTTTGATTGTGATTTTCTCTGTGAAAAGGAACCAAACCACCAAAAGAATCACCAAAAAAGAATCAACTGATTCGGACCAAAGTAAACAAACCAAGCCAATACACTTTTGAGTGTATTGACTCCAATACACTCAAAAGTGTATTGGAGTCAATACACTGAACATCGTCCTGTTCAGAGTTTGATGCTTAACAACTAATCAACATATACATCTTTGTGCGAGTCTATTTGCTGTTATTGTCCGTCAGAAATTTCCCCATTGTGTTACATTAAAGGTTATTTTTATTCTAGTGTGGCCACTAAATATGTTTGTTTTATGACTAAATTGTAGTCATTAAAACCAGTATTTTTTTAATCACAGCTGGAGGAAAAAGGAAAATGTCAGTGGTCAAACCACTCATTATGTCGTACTACCACTGTGTGATTCACAATGGATCAACAACCTTACCTGACTTTGTAACAAAGGATTTATGTACGTTTTTCCATCAAGGCGTCACTAAGCTTGTAACAGAGAAACCCAGCTGAACCACTGCTGGTCGATACTTTGAGACAACTGGGATAAATCCAGTCCCTCTCCTGGGAAGCACCACAGCCCAGTTTAGCCTTTTAACTCGCTGTTTTGTCACAGCTCAGCCGCTGAAACTCTGCTGAAAATAGCTCAGAGCAACCTGAGATACACAGGAGGAGAGCGTGACGGTAAAGGCCGCGGCAACGGCCAAGATGACGCCGGGTTTGCCGTACGAGAGGATAATATTCAGAGTTCAGCCATATTGCGTGATTAAGCAGGAAGGCCAGGCCACAGAGCGAGGGAGCATATGTCAGCCTTTCCCTCTGCTGTCACCCTCACATGTGTTACTTCCTCCTCCACCAGCCCACCTGCCTAGTCAAAGCCTTACAGTTAGATTTGAGTTTAAATCAAGGGATATCAGTTCCAATGAGGCTTGTTTATCAGATTAAAAACATCTTGAAAATTACTTTTAAGGAAGTATATTTTTTTTATTGCTTTGTTTTAGGGCTGATATGATTAATCAGATTAATCGATAATTGAAGTAATTGTCAACTACTGGCAGTTACAGTTACAATTGTTTATTTTTCTACCTAAAAAAATTAATTGACTTATTTGAATTATTTTAATGCATTTCTAATATTATATAAAAAGTTGTGTTTAAATTAAAAATCTGAAGAGTATGCTAATTTTTGTATCCAATTAATTGATTAATCATCAAAATAATCATCAGAATAATCAGTTACTAAAACAGTTATTAGTCGCTGCCCTGCTCTGCTGTAATATTCTAATCTTAAAATGCTGTTTTCATTCGTCGGAAGCAGAAAATCATCGTAATTAACAGAAATAAAGGTTTGAAAACATCTGTGCTTAGTGATGGAGTTTCTGAAGTAAGTGAACTTTTCTATAATATTCACATTTATTTATTATGACTGTGTAGCTTATTGTCGCTGTTTTCTCCAGACTCTTATGCAGCTCTAAGCTGAAATAACACACTGAGGGAATTAAACACTTGATTATTTTCTTACCCGTTTGCCTTATTGATCACTGTGAAGCTAATTTTATAAGCTGTTGATAACAACGATCCCAGACAATAACGGGACCGTTATTGTCTGGCGATTGATGAGGTCATGAAGCACCGCCTCCAGCGCCGGCTGCAGAGAAACAAATATGGCCTCCCTGTCAAATCTCTCAGTGCAGCTCTGACAGGCTCATAAAATCCCCACGAGTCCTCCAGCCTGAAAGGATTCATTTTTCAAGGGATTCATCCATATGGGGAAAAATGAGTGCCCCACTACCGTTAGGAGAGAGAGAGGTGAAGTGTTTACAAGATGCCAGGTTCGTACCTGCAAATGTGGCCTGAAACTGCAACAATTTGTCTTCTGAACAAAAAGGCACACAGAACCATGAGATGGTTCTACGTGTGATCTGGGTTTGGTTTTCTGATCTCAAAATGGGGATGGTGTCCTGAGATAAACAAGAAAATGGAGCTAAATGGCTTCATGCATCAAACTGGTGGTGAGAAGAGAGAAAAGCCAGTTTGTCTCAATGTGCCCAACTATTTTAAAGAGTTCTGAGTTATAAACTTCAGGATTGAGGTGCAAATAAAGAGCTTGACCAGATTCAGTAACCACCACAGTGCTGAATGTTAATCATGTTACTACTGTTACACAGCAGGGTGCCATCTCCGGCCAGAAGATGTGCAACAGAAGATAAGAAAAAGGAAGTCCAAAGCAGACGACTAATTACTCCAGGTAGGATAAAAGTTGATAACACTCCCCATTATAAATGGAAATGACCAGAAAGTAAAAAGTGGACGATATTTTGGACAAGTGGTTTTAGTGTATTTAAGTAGCACGAGTCAAAGATAAAAAAAAAACCTTGATATTAGTAAGGGCTGAAAAAACCTGAGAAATGATGAAACTGTGTCCATGTTTTCTCTCACGAGTGAAGATGTTGATAAAGTGAGAGTTGAATGTGGTTTTAAGTCACATTTGACTCTCTGAACTACGGAAACCCAAAGAATATTTTGGAGAAATTTTTTTTTTAGTTTTTCCATCTTCAAAAACTAAAAATTTGATTAATTGATAAAACCGATTTATCCAACTGCTCAGTACTTGATTATCAAGAAAATAGTCAAATAGTTGAGATGATTGTAGAGTTGAATAGAAACAAGGTTAGGTCAAACACCATTTCCATCATGGGACAAGAACTTTCAAAAAAAAAAACAAAAAAACACACAAATAAATAAAAACTTGTAAAAGCGCACGCAGGGTTACTGCGACCCCATTGGACCGCGCACGGAGTACAAAAAACCCATCTCTTAATACCACAGAAGAATTAAAAATTACTTTTGTTCATTTTATGTTTAGGGGGAGGTGGCAACAGGAAATGATGTAATTCCATGTCTGACATCATCACTGTGAATAAAGCCAGAACCTGGGTGTCTCTTCTTATTCCTGAGGAAGACAAATGACCTTCACATGGTTTTACAAGCAAAGACCTTGTAAAACTCAATCTAGATGTTTGTAAAAGTTAATTTCAAGCCGGACTTGGTATCAGAGCTCAATCCAGGACCTCAAATCAAACCAAACGTGTTCCAGAATCTGACCTGAAACCGAGACTTTACCAGAGGACTGCAATGTCTTCAGACACACAGAGAAGGACAATCATAATGCTGCACTCTGGTGGATGAAATACGTCACAGCAACATCGTTGTTTTCACTATGCACTGACATGTAATTTTGTTATTTATTTACTAAGTTAATATAAACTAAGAAGTGAGTAGATGCTTGCTTACTGTTCACTGAAACCGGTGCAAACACAGAAAGGAAAACAGATCACTGTCTCTGTCTGTCCCAGAGATTCTTCAAGGGCAAACCTGTTGAGACCCGAAACGCAACAAGCCAGAATAGGCACAAATGTTGCATAAAAAGAAGAAGCGATGCATGATGGAGGCTGTTGAAATGCTGAGAGTTGTAGGATGGCCGGTGCGCCAACAGCAGAGCGAGGGAAACCAAACGGGATGGGTGAGAGAGGGAGGGAAAGCAGGAGGAGGGAGGGAGAGTTTGAGGATAAATCCTTACTACATAATGATTAGAGCTCACAAGCCCTTCCTGTGACATGAATGTAGGAGTCAGGATTACAGCCGGCTGCTGGAGCCAGAGCAGGAGCTCTGCTGATGTTGGGAGGAGGGATCCAGGTGGGGAAATGAGACGAAACACAAACAAGCACAACTGAACAACAAGTGCAGCTTAAAGAAGAGAGAAAGTTGTGCTTCCAAGGAGGCCAAGAAGAGTGTCCAATTGCTTCCCAACTCCGGGAGCTGACTGGCATCTGGACCCCGACTCCGGCCATCTGTCGCTGGCCGCCGACAGCCTCATCCCGGGCAGCTGGAGCATTTCTCTGACTCTTAATTTGATGGAGTGGCTGGTTGCACCAGAGGAGGGGAACACAGGGAGGCTGGGTCACCCTGCAGAGTGTGTGAAGGATGGGGCGCGCAGCGTGGAGAATTGTCTCAACCAAACATGGGGTACTTCTGCGTCTTTTTGAATCGGACAGCGCTGAGCGAAACGAAGGATCATAATCGGGAGGATTCTTCTCAAATTTAACATGGCTGAAGTTTTAAGGCTGTCTGAAGTCTCAGGGGTGAAATGTAAATAACTGCTCTGTAATCTGAAATCTATCATCTGACCTGAAAACATTCCTGTCTCAACTTTATCCTGGAACAATTATGGGGGAAACCATGATTTAATTTCTAACTCTGACACCTGCTCACCTCCATCACTTCTTCACTTCCTCCTCCTGCTCCTCTTCTTCATCCCTCCTCCCTTTTAACCAGCGAGTGATAATGTGACCTTCTGCCAAAGTGCTGGAAACCATGCCACCGTCGCAGCGGGCTCGACTGTTGCTGCTACTGAAATAGACTCAAACAAGTGCAGGGGGAGGAAGAGGAGGGAGGAAGGGAGAGGAAGAAAAAGAACGAAGAGGAAGGATAGGAGGGGAAGGAAAAAAAACGTGGGGAAGGACAGCTGAAGCCGAGGACACGGGATGAGTGGTGATGAGCCAGAGCTGGATGTGAGCTGCCGCCGCAGGTAAAGATCACCTTCATCCAACACTTTGTGCTGCTTTCATGTGTCACCATCACTTCATTCAAATGTCAGCTGCTGGAAATCATAGAACGCATGATCAAATGTTCCCACTTTCCCAAACATTCCCGGATAGGGATGCTTTCTGCTGCTCTCCCAACTGTGTGTCAGTGTTTAGTGTCTTCCTCTCTCTGAGAATTATCAGAGCGCAGAGGATCAAACATCCGGAGGTTGTGCTTGGCTTTTACACAAGTTGTAGATGTTTGGTGACTGTAGCTGTTGCTTTCAGACACTCCGCTCTGGGGGAGATTAAGCAGAGTGGATCGATGCATCATTGTAAAGAGATTCTTTTTTGATACCTGCCTGCTGGACATGAGATGCTGCTGCAGGGCAAATTGAACTGCCAATAAAGACCCAGGATGCCAGAGCAACCAAAACAACTGACAAACAAAAGGATTTTAAAGGCAGAGATCTGAAAGCAGAGAGAAAGAAAAACGTTTTTGTAAAAGTAGAGAAATGATTGTAAAGACAAAACAAACAGTAATCGTGCTATTATAATAATGCTACAGTATCATCAGAATACTTTAACTATACCAGTGACAAGATTCACCTGAAACTAATGATAATAATTTAAAACGAGTTTATTTTTTCTACATATTATTCCATCAGATCTTATTAATATTTCCATCAATGACATCAAGGTCACAGGTCAGCAAAAGTTGGTTGAAAGAAAAAACTTCTTCTGGTCCGAGTCTGTAAACAACTAAATGTCTGACAAAGATGCATATTTTTATAGATACAGACTAAATTTATCACATAAAAAAGCTTGGCTTGTTCTTAATCGCGGCAGAACTTTTTAATCAAGTTAATTGCCGGGTTTATAATTAATAGTATTAATTAAAATAAGCAAAACTCAATACAAAAAAAATTCTGCTAAATTATAGGTTATATGAGCTCAACAATAAAGATATTTAGAGTTTTTAATCAGTTATCCTGGTTCTTCAACCATCAGATTGATGGAAAGTTCACCTTTCCAGTGTTTGAGGAAGCCCTGATCATTCTTTAGAAATGTGGACACTGGCATTAGCATTAGCAGCATGTTTAGCATTGAGATGCTATTTTGAGCCTCAAGAGTTTTGCTGATGGGATAACTACTTTTAGAATAACATGAACACAACAGTAGTTTTTTCCAACGTCTCATACCGTTATCTTGAAGTAGAAACCAAACCCCTGTCAGCCAAGAGAAGCAGCTTTGTCGCTGTAAATTTGCAGATTTTGTTTGTGCGTCAAATTTAGTGGCCTACTAGAAACACAATACAAAGGTTCCGGCTCTGAACTTTTGCATATAAAAAAGAAAAATGTGATTAATTGCATTAATTTGTTTTTACTTTTATTAATTACATGAAATGAATGCGATAAAGCGCTGGCCATCATTTTTAGATTTTACAATGGTGGCAATGTTCTTTTCTACTTCTAAGTAATTTATCTATATTAATTCAATATTTACAGGGTTATTTCATTGTTACCAATATTTCAAACCCCAACAAAAGTAACTCAACTATTGTCCTATATAGAAATGGGGACAAAATCATCCTTTCCACAGGTGAAAACATGTTTTCATTCAATTTATTTCACAGAATAAAGCAGAATGTGGGGTGAGACGCCGCAGCACCAGTTAGGCTGGTGAAAAACGGTTCTTCATTATGTTATGCCAACCATATCTTGGTTTCAGTAATTGGATGTACGCAGGCGTGTGTAATTCAAACATCCATATGGACATTCGTCTGTGTCTGTGTGTGTGTGTGTGTCTGTGTGTGTGTGTGTGTGTGTGTATAAGAGAGTAAAGAAACCAATGCGACACAGCAGCATATAATCTCACACACACAAAGATCGCTGCCAGGAGCAACACACCAACAAGCATGATGGAGGAATCTGCAGCTGGATGTCAGACTGAAGCAGAGACTGATCAATAACAACTGATACATGCTGTGATTAAATTGCTTTTTTCTTTTTTCCTTCTTACAATTTCATGCCCTTATGACACAAAAACACATTTGTACTTTAACGACAATAAGAATAAGGATTGACTTAATTCACATAAAACAAAGTAAGGACGGAACAAATTGTCCTTTTTGTAACAGCTGCATGTTTTACTCACAAAGCAAAGAAGTCTGTTATTTTATGCTAGTATTAGTAATCGGTTACAAGGCTCAACAACCAAAACTTAAATTTGGTTTAAAAATACTCTATTTACCCCAAAAGGGAGACTAAATGTTGTCGTAGCTCATATCGTCCAAGTATCTTCCAACATGCGCTGTGGATGGTGATGCTGTAGGCAGGAGTGATCTCCTCTAGTAGTAGTCAGTTTTCCAGCGATTCTGAAGATACCTCTGACTGAACACAGTTGCTTCTAACAGCTCCAGGCAACAGAGATAATATTCTACAGCAACATGTCCTGGATGACACTATCAGTTAGCAGTTCTGCTAATCCACCTCCTTTTCTTTTGCCGCTGAACAGGTTGTTCAAGGGTTTGGTTCATTTGACACCAACTAAAATGTGTCAAATGTTGCAATTTGGTCCCCGATCGAGCTGAGTCTACTGAACTTAAGTTGTTTGTACAAGCATCAGCCAGGGCACTTTTTGCACTGAATGAATGAGTTTTTTTGATGGTATTCTAATTTATGATAATGCAATAGTAATATGTTTGCTGTCTTCATACCTGACAGTCTCTTCTCTGTCTGAAAAACTAAGAAACTGGATAAGACTGGCAGGACATGTGTGGAAAAAATGGAAAAACTAAAACAAGAGGCACACCTGGCTGCACAGATATCTGTTTTATCCATGCTGACTGACAGGCAGCTGCAAGCATCCAGGACAGTAAACTTGTTACTGCAAGCAAAGGATGGCTGCAGCATATCAGAGCCATCCACCCAAGGTCATGACAGAGGAGTTGTAAATCTCACTCCCAATCAGGTGACGGTGCATCATCACATGATCTATTCGTCTCCACATTGTAGAAACCTGAGGATCCGGGGGGACGCTCCGGTGCTGATCTGTCACAGCGGTGCTGAGAGCGCTTTGCAAGCTTTGAGATGAGATCTTAAATATGTGGCAGACAATTTGTAGCAGGCTGTGTTGCTCTAAGTTTACGGTTGCTCTCGCAGGCACAACAGAGACTCCAGGCCCATTTATATTCACGGCGCAGTGCCGCTTGCACCCGTCTACCGTCCTGTCCCTGTTGAGAAGGAAAACTGACACGTTGTGGGCTGAGAAACGAAGGACGGGGGTGGTGCTGGCATCGCCTCTGTTTTATTGTCATTCCTCTACCTTTCACGGATCCAACTTGAGGGTGCATGTGTGGTCCAAGCGTGTGCACATGCAGGAAATCGATTAGTCTAATCGTTTTCTGTTCGCCTTTGCATGTCTGCCGCTTCATTTGTCATATTTAGCCCTGAGCTACGACACGGTGAGGAGCATCTCAGTGAAGAATGATGACAATGATAACCTTAGAGGCAAAGTACGTGTGTGTGTGTGTGTGTGTGTGTGTGTTGGGTTGGCCCACGAGACATCTTTAAATGTCCGAAGAGAATGAGGCGTTCGACTTTGCAAGATTCATCTGAAGGAATCAGGCCAACAAAAAGTGACACAAAATGTTCTGGTGTCTCAGCTGGCAGAGGTGACTTGTGATCGTGACGTACTTTGGGCTTTTTTTGGCTTTCTTTGTTGCACACTTCTTCAGCATTACCACATGCGCCATTGTCACTTCAGAATTGCAGCCAAAAGTGATCAACAAAGCCTGAAAGATGGTTTTAGAAGGTAGTGTGGGTCTAAGACACCATTTAAAAAATCCTCCTATAAGATAAAGAACTAGTGCAGCATCTCTAGATGCAAATTCATTTCTGCAAAATCAATGACATCATTTCCACAGAAAACTATAACCCAAAAATGCTTATGAAGAAGATTACTTTGTTTGCTTTTCAGTAAATTATTTTAAAAAGGTTTAGTTGGAAATAAACTGACAGGAGATGTGTAATATTTGGAGTTTTTAGATAAATTCTCATTTTAATATTAAATTACCAAAAACTAGAATCATATGGTTAGCAGGTTTCTGCAGAACACTGACATGCTGAGGAGGTATTTACCACCAGGATGCTGAACCTGTCTTTTTACTTCATTACAATTGGTTTTTTGTAATCATGTCCTTCCTGTTTCCTGACATAAGAGGCTGCAGCTGCACAGACATCAGCCGTTTGCGCATCAATGTAACTTTACAGGGGCCCTATTACAGTCATGATTGGTCCAGTGCGGGGCAACTCTTACTATCATTGGTTATTCATTTTTTCTATATATTGAAGGTATGCATCAACCTAAAATCTGAGAAGGAAAAAATTAAAATTGTGATATAAATTGGTATCGTTTTATCGTCGAACTCTACTATGTACCAATACTCCACAGTGTTGAAGTGGTGAGGTTTGTTACATTTCGAATTAAAATTCAGCTTGATAAAACAAAACCGTTGCATTCAAGTCAAAGTGCATTGATTTAATGTGGCTGAAAACATGCATAACACGTATAGCTTATTCTCCCATCCATGACCTCTTTTCTCCTTTCCACCATCAGTCATGTCTCAGAAAATGTGTTAATGACAGTGAAATGGAAGTTACCAGGGAGAAATAGAGTAATTGAAAGCACAAGGCCACACACACAGACAGGACAGATTATGAACAAAGTGGTCTGCTCACACGTGGATTACAGCCTGTGTGTGCAGGTCAGAGGTCGGCTGCATGCGTGGACAGAGCGCGAGTCTTCCGTGAGAGCAGGCTGGTGACAGCTGGCTCAGCGGCAAAGGTGGCGGGGGTTGTTCTGGTTCTGCACCGGTGGGCACAGTTTCAGCTTAACCAGGGTTTACACTGATCCCTGCTTTACATACGGCAGAGCAGCCGCCAAACATCAGCGGAGGACCTCCAAGTTACCTGGCATGATGGGCTCACTGTCGGGTCAGAAC